TTCCATTCTAAGTCTTCGTATATGTCGAGTTGCTGCCAATGTCTCATAAGCACATTGAAGTAGTTTGTAATGGTTGATTCTCCTTATTGCAGGTCATGGAAGATGCCTTTGATTTAAAAAATAGCCAAGGTATCACCAACACTGGAGTAGGTCGCCTCGACTGCATTGAAAATTTCCTTGGCAGTGTTGTAATACATGAAGTTTTCACAGGTGTCATTAGCCATAGAATTTAGTAACTAGAACATCACCATTCGGCTTCCAGTTTCCAGACCCAATAACTTGAGTCAGTTATTTCTGGTTGCACAGTTATTTCCATGAGTACTATTCTTTTCCTTTACGGTAGATGAAGATTCAGACTGATTGGACCCATTGGAGGTAGTTCTGTCCATTAATGTTGTGTCCAATGATTGGAAGGATGGTCCCTTCTGCAATATAGGTGCTGCTGGTGAGCACGACTTGCAGTATGAAGGACACCTCCGAGCTAGTCTCTTCTTGTCCACTCGCCATGGTGGAGCATGGAGATAATTTTTGGTTTTCTTTTTCATTTGTGATTCAGATCGTGCTATGTACCATAAAGAAATTTGTGTTTTCCTCTTGTTTATATGGAATTTATCAGTGTATGCATTTATACAGCTAGGTTACACCTTAAACTAGAATTTTAGTACACCAAAACCACCTAACTACTAGCTAGAATCTCTGCAGATATTGTAGAGATATTTTTTCCCTCAACATAAATAGGAAAGTTTCCTAAACTAGAGGAATTCTTGTATAAATGAATGTCTCCTAGTTTTAGGAAACAAATCTGAAGTGTGATTAGAGTAGTCCCTATAATTGAGGACTCAAATTTCAAGAAATTGTTAGACTCTAGAATTCCTAACTTTAAAGAATATTGCATATCTAAGTCATTGAACACTCAGACTATTAGTACATAAAATAATTTTCATTTTTATTTCTTAAACACAATATATATTTATACATTTACAAGATGAAAAAGCTGAAACAAAAACTAAAAAAATTCAAGTAATAAAACAGAGCTGCTTTTGAATAAATTTAATTCCCAGGTGTCACAAATAGCGATCAGGTAGATGTACCCATTTTATTAATAGCATATCTAGTTTTACAAGCATCTCCAGCTTTTAATAAATCCTCCAAGTTATATGGGAATCTTAGTTGCAGCTATCTTAACACAAGCAACAAGCACATTTTGGAAATTAAATAAGAACATACACGTAAATGTAGAACAACTAAATGTGTTTTACCAATGGAGACTTACATTTTACGCAATGCTGCTCCAGCAGACAGAGCTTTTCTTTGCTTCTTTCTGAAGGAAATGCGAAGCACTGAGCATAACAGCGGCCAACTTGTTATAACAGCAATGTAAGCAAGCAACCACATCGATCTTCTATTCTGTTGAGAAAGATGGTTTAAGCATCTTCTTATAGAAGCAATTAAGTTAAAGGACTTGACGTCCTGGTTGTTTGTAGGTGGTTGCGAGCCTTCAAGAATGCTGGACAGACCAATAGAGTTCACTTCCTTCTGATTATCAGCATCTAGATCCATTTCCGGAAGAATTTCTTTATTTCTCTTCTGATAGGTCTTCTCCAGTTCAGATGTTTCTTCCCCAAAATCGTTTGCACTTGGCTCACTGCTCACAGCAGCCACCATTCCATCTTCTGTGATATTTACATAGGGACCTTGATCAATTGAAGATCCCAATGATGACTGCAGACCAGAGCTCTGCTTCTGCAAATACATTATAACAAATTGACTATTAGTAGAATGGCCTATAAATGCATCCAGTGGAAGATGGACCACAAGAGCATGATTTTTAACTATCTCATAGATTGCACGATTTTTAGTTTTAAGGGAATCAAATGCTGCATTTATACCCAAAAAAAAAAAATTCCAGATATCCAGTAACAACATACTCCTTTTCCTTTAGCTTTGTCTAATGCTCCTTTACCAAGTAAAAGATAATGGAAGAAAATCATATATTATAGCTTTGTTTAATACATGAAAACATTTTCTAGTTTTTATTTTTTAATTTATGAATAAAGACATGTATAAATACAAATAAATTTAGAAAATTAGAAAACATTTTTATCTACACAGAGATTAGGCTCTATTTGATACACAAATATTTTTTAGTTTTCATTTTCTAAATTTGATATTTTATTCACAATACTATACAAGTTAGTCAATAATAAAGAAAACAATAGTGAGAAATAATAATGGAATTAGAAAATTTTAAAATATGATTTTTAATGATATCAAAAAACTTTTTATTTATGCTTTGATTACTTCACATATATCCAACTTTTACATATTTTCATGAATAGAAACATATATAATCATGAATTTAGAAAATGAAGTAGAAAAATGCTTTCAAGTAACAAATGAAGCATTTCTGCACAGATTATTTTCAGTATCTAGTAATAACATGTTCTTTTTTTTTCTTCAATAACAAAAAATAGAAGGCTACAGAAATAAACCGGAGTTTCTTCTTTACATGCATATACGAACTGGAGCATAGAACACCAAGAAATTCATTAGTAGCCCTGACCCACCTGCACAGCATAACTAAATCAATAAATTAAAGCAGGAAGCATCCATATCAGAAGAAAAAGCTCTTCTCATTATCCAGAACCAGGAAGGGTTGGACAGTTTAAGATGACAAACAATTCTCTCTCTTTCACTCTCTCTCCACATCTAACAGACTAACAGGCAGTTAAACGAAGAACTAAGTTCATAAATCAATGCAAGAGGAGATCAGCTCAAATCAAAAAATGGAAATCAGCAAAAGCTGCAAATCAAAAATGGTCCAAAATTAATGTTCTCTTCCAACGTAATTTACAATATATAGTGAATGGTCTTAAAATGTTGCCATGGGAATGACTTTTTTACGCTCATGAATGATTTTCCAAATGTAATTATTGTGTTACCTTTGGTGTGCCAAATATAAAGGAGATGACAAAATATTTTACAAAGTGGTGTGCCAAAAAACCACACGCTACAAAGAAAACTAAAGAGTCGCATTTTCCTCACTTTTTAAACTGCTCTGTCACATGTTGTGTTGCACAGCCACCACCATACAGAAAGCCACTTGCACACATTTACACAGGTTCTTAAATATAAATTTATAGAAAAATCTAAAGTTTTTATCATCATCTCCTTTGTGAGCATAATTTGAAATTCATAAATGCTTTCATCTTAAATATTCACTCTAAGAGAGAGAGTTTTAAAATTAATTCTTAATTTCTTTTTTGGATTTGTAAGAGATATGAGGTTTTACACATTAGATGTGTTTTTGAAAGAGGAAAAACACATGGTATGGTGAACTAGACTCCTTATTACCTAGTAATTGTAAGAAAAATTGAACAAGATGTAAAATTCTCAAGTGCATTTTTTTAAAATAAAAAACTGTCAATTGCATTATTTGAGGCATTGTAGTAGGTGGTGCTGGTGCTGCCGCATTGAGTTTACGTACATATTGTGAATGAATTTGACCATCCTGATTTAATTTTGGATGCCTAACTCGTTGTTTAAATTGTTAAAATTTCTAGAACCTAATTTATTCACCCTCTTAGATTGCTATAACCCTTAGGACATCACGTGGTATCAGAGGTTGGTCTCTAAATTAGGATTAACTTAAGTGTCTCTTAGAAAAGATCATTATGGCTTTCTGTGGAAGGATTTGATGTCTCATATTCATTTAATAATACAAAAAAGTTACATATATATATATACAACAACCTAGATATAGAACAGAAAACCTAATTATTTTAGGATCCCATAATTTACGGAATATTCTATTATAATGGGAATCTAATTAAATCAGTCTTCTAGGAATACAATCTGTTACAAGTGAAAGCAATATATACATGCAATTTATCACTTTTCCACACTTCCCCTCAAGTTGGTGAATAAATATTTTTCATTCTCAGCTTAGAGACAATATTCTGAAACACTAGACTACTTAATCTTTTGGTAAGTACGTCAGCGTGTTGGCCATGTGTGGACAAATAAGGTGTACAAATCAACCTGCTCAAGTGATAAAGTATCTCTCAACTTCGATACTCTTCATTCGATTATATTGTACTGAATTATGAGCTATGCTTATAACACACTTATTATCACTATAGAATCTCATTGGACCATCCCATTCAACCTTCAAATCTTATAAGCTGATCTTTATCCAAAATAGTTCAAACACACCCTCGGTCATAGCCTGGAATTCTGCTTCCACACTTGACCGTGCTACCACCTTCTATTTTTTACTCATACAAGTCACCAAATTACCACCAAGGAAGGTGCAATATCCATAATTGACCTCCTGTCAACTATTGACTCGGCATTTTTATATGCCTCAAGAACTAAACCTCCATTCCTTTTAAAGAGAATACTTTTGCTTGAGTACCCCTAAGAGATTGCAATACTCGAGAGCTACTTATAAATAGACTTCTGTAGGACTATGCATAAGCTGACTGATCATATATCATATGGTGGGTTATGCACCTTGTTAACTAGCTATTGTAAGAAAAACACATTTTATGGCCAGTTATGCACCTTGTTAAATAGTTATTGCAAGAAAAATTGAAGACAATAGTAGAACTCTCAAGTGGATTACTTGAGGAAGTGGAGGAAGTGGTTGTGAACCACTATAAAATTGCTTGAGGGAATGGAAAAGAAGGAAGTGGAAAGGAACCACTACAGATTTCCTATTCTCTTTACTTTATACATTGTATTTAGTTACATATTATGAATGACTTCGAGCATGCTAGATTAACTTACTCTTGGGTGCTTCATTTCTTGTTTTAAGTTGCTAAACTTCCAAAAACCAATTCATCCCTCTCTTGGTTCCCAAAACCCTTGGGACATCAAAAAATGAATTACTTAAAATCAAACACAAGATAATAATAAAAAATCATGGGGATGGAAGAAGCTGGTGAACTAATAACTTGGAGAATGCAATTGTTCCATTCATCAGTGCAGCTGCTTCTAGATTTTGAATTTATTTTATAGTACTTCCTTGTATTGGTAAGAATGAGGGCTAAGTTCCTACTTTATGATAGTGGGTGCTTATCTTCTACTTCCTCTTGTAATCAGTGGATCATAGTGTTTGGAAAGGACATAAAAGTTTTAGAAGTGATTTCTTCCCGATTCCTGGTCTGTATTCGTTTCTTATTTCTCTAAGCAGTTTAATTATGTAGCAAACTCACTTCTGCAGGGGGGGCACCACGGCTCCTCTCTTCTCAATAATTTATACATCCCTTATTAATGTATGGACAGCTACCTTTCAACCACGGGTTTAGTTTTGGATTCAATGAGAAAATAAAATGGAGCATCTAATAACGTATCTTCATATACCAAGAACTACAAGATCATCCCTTTCTTGGAGCGACGGAGGAATCGTACCGTTCGAGCCATGAACAGATTTGGATTGAAAAAGCACCTGACTTTGTTGCTTTTCAAATCCTCAGCATAATCACATCTCTTCTCTTTCCTTCAAACCCTTAGCTTTCGGCAAGATGGTCACACAGTAGAAATTCTAAGAAACATTCTTCTGAACTTTATCTCGATCTCACAATAAACAGACCCATAACCCAATCCCAGATTACTGACCCTAACATTTCATTTGAACATAATCAGAGGCAACTGGTTATTGACCCTGCCTTAAGACTACTTAATGATACTTTTGTATCAGTCTTTCTTCTCTGCACGGGTGACATCCTCCAGGGCCTTGTGAATGGTATAATACTTTTCCTTCTTAAAATAAAAGAAAAACATAGGAATATGAAATACCACAGCCCAGAAGCAGTTAATCCTTCAAAGAATGCCAAATGTCCTCCATGCTGTGTGGTAGCCAGCACAATGTGTTTGTTTGCCCTATTTGAAGATGAAAGTCTGAGATCATATATGCTCCATTTCATGTAAAAGAAAACATTTGGGAACATCACGTGAGCAACATACCTGCATTCATCCCAAGGGATGGCTTCCCTGGTGCATACTGGATCATCCAAAGCACTGATACACAGTAGTGGCACTGACACATTTCCTACATAGGGAGCACTGCTACAATGCCTATAATATGTATCTACAGTCTGAGAAAACAATATTGAGAGTTAAGATAACTGAAAAAGAAAAGAAACCAAAAGGAAACAAAAAATAGATTAAATGTCAAAATAATAATACCTCAAATTTTCCAACAAGGCAAGTGGCGAAGTTGTCAAAATCTCGAATAGAACGTGACTTTTGAAACACAAGATTCAACCAAACAAATGAATTGAAAGAAGTATGCAAAAATCAGTGTCAATGCTTATTTAGGAAATCAAGAGAAAGAAGCCAAACCTTTTTTATGCCTTCCCAATTAGCAAGCCGTGAATATCGAGGCTCGTGTCTACAATGAACATTTGGCACATTGTCATACAAGCTGGGTCATCAGTTATATCAAAATAAAGGCACCACTCTTCCTCCCAAAAGGGAAACAAAAAGAGAGAATTTTTTAGTTTCACGAACTTAAAATTGTACCCGTTTTCATCTCTATTAAAAAGTAGTATAGACATACAATTGTGCGTAACCTTGAAGTCCAATTGTAAGAGCTCTATCATAGAATTTTTGCAGCAGCCTACGGGATATAAATCTGTCCCCAATCTGTTAAAAAAAAGTAGGGAAGAGGAAAAGGATCTTAATTAGGTTGCTCCTAACACTGTCACATGCCAAACTATATATATCACCATATATGTATATGATTTTACAAATTCTTGCCTAGAGATCAAAGATCATAAATAATTGACCTAGAGCTTTAGGTCCTGGTTTCTGGCCCCGGCTAATTCTCGTGATATTTTTTTCTCCCCACCAGGCCCTACAGGACATGAGTATTAACTGGCCATAAGCACACCTATAGGATCTTGATCAAGTGGTTCACCAATGTGTTCGAGTTGGAGCATGGAAACAACAGCAGAAACAACCACAGAACACATATAGGTGCCAAGTAAGGCTCTCTGGTTCAGTTCTTATCAATTTACCCTACTCTAGTAATTTCCAGATCATCTTGACATGTAAAATTGGATCATAGTCCTCAACACTTAGAAATCTCTACGAACTCAATGTAGAAGTTACTTAAGGTTCTTGACTGTTGCCAAGCATAATATGACAAATACACGTTGTTTCTTAAATCTGCACTGCTACAGAAGGCTTGCCCTTTTTAAGTTAAAAAGAAAAAAGAATAACACAATTGCATAAAATATGGGGCCACAGTAAAGTTAATGAAAAGGATCAATGAGAAATTTGCATTGAGATGCTATATCAAGCTGAATCAGCTTGGGCCTGAAGCACCATAAGGTAGATTAGGCTCCAGCAAAAACATTACTAACCAAAAGGTCCCATGGAGAGCAAACAGCTACTGCCCCAGCAATAGGAGTCTTTCCTCCATCCTCCCCTAGGTATTTTACCTGAAAGAAGTAAGGCATTAATTTCAAATCATAAGTCAATAGTAGTTCTTATTGTTTGCTAACCAATAAAATAAGATAAAAACTGGCATCCGATAATTTTGATGTCCAAGAATACTAAAAGCAAAATTTCTCCAATGTACTGAGTTCATTTCCCCATGCCCCCGAAGATGTGGCTGAGCAGCAAAATGCACGAAGAGAATAAGGAGAGAATAAAGACAGGAGGTAAAGCAACATGACAATAAAATGGTAGACAAGCGAAATGTCCGGGCTGTAATAATACACTAGATCTTCATGATTTAAGAATTTGTGTCTTAAAGATTCTGACTCTCCAAATCATATCTTATTTTATGTTCAAAAAGAAAATTATGGGATTCGTATCCCGCTTCTTAAAACCAGTTAGGTGGTATATAGATTTATTGGGGCTGAGATGAGGGATAGGGGGATGGTAATTTAGACAGGCAAGACGTAGAAGAAGCTTTTGTCTTAAATTCCTTACTCTATCTTTTCAGTTTTCATTAAAAAAAAAAGAATAGAAGAGCTACTGAAGGCATTTTCTCTCTTTTAATTGATTATAATTTTTTGGTTTCAAACCATATATTTGTTTAATGGTCATTCTCATCATGGAGTTGAGATTCAAGACCTCTTTAGAAGAAAAATAATAGAAGAGCTTTCTAAGGCTTTCTGCCTTTTACTAGGATTAGTATTAATTACCGGCTCCAGACCTTATGTATCCCACTTTTTCTAATTCTTAAAATCTTAAAATATTTTGAAGAACTGAATAAGATTCAAGAAACATAAAGCGCACTTGATTTAACATACCAAAATGTTGGCACCTATGCTAGTTCCAATAGCAAATAAAGGGGCCTTGGGGTATTCATGATGGAGATAATTAATTACTACCCGTATATCCTCCGTCCATCCAGCATTATAGAAGCAATCAGACTGCAAAAATTATTGCAAAGTAACATATTACTGAAAGATCGTAGACTGTGCCAGAAACTAACAAGTACAGACTAACAACAAAAAGCTTTGAGAAGATAATACAACAAGAATCCTCCGTAGAATGGTCATTCTTAGGATACTAATATATCCTTTTCTTTTTTCATTTTTGTCATTTTAAGAATAGGAATACTATTGAATAAGTTACTATATTTATGCAGAATTTGGTTTATGTTCCATTCAATTCCTAGTCAATTTTCTAGTTCTGATTCTCATATTAATTTTTAATTTATTGTATCTAACATTTCTCCACCTTAAATTCCTTGAATTTGTCTTAATTCTCATTAGTGAAAATGATTTAATTTAAGTAATAACAATGCATCATAAAGCATCAAAGCATAAATCAAAATATAGGCAAATGCATACTTGAATCATTGAAAGATCACATATTCATTCATGTATTTGATTAACAGCCTAAATATTCAGGAAACCATTTAGGGTTTACTATAGCAGGAGGGGGTAAAATAGGAAATTCACACACCAAACGGTAAACCAGTAAACTCATATAGCCAGTTAGGGTTAGGGTTGACAAACCCTAACCAGCTCATCAGGATCATAGAAAGATCACATATTCATTCATGTATTTGATTAACAGCCTAAATGTCAGGAAACCATTTAGGGTTTAGTATCGCAGGAGGCGGTAAAATAGGAAAATCACACACCGAAGGGTAAACCAGTAAACTCGTATAGCCAGTTAGGGTTAGGGTTGACAAACCCTAACCAGCTAATCACGATCTTGCAGCTGCCGCTCAAGTCATCACCATCACAATCCTGCGGCCGCCGCAGCAGCGCATAACGGCCACACGATTCTGACCACTGAAATCGCTGCTTTTATTGTATTTTAGCCTATAAAAGGCCCTTCTTCCAGTGTTGTAATATCATTCTTCTTCTTCATTTTCTTCAAATCAGACAGCCATGACAAAGGCCTCTGACACTAAACTACATATATAAGGCTAATTGATGGTGAAATTATGTGAAAAAAGACATCAACTTGAGGATATATAGATACTGATTAAACTTGGACATCTAGTGTTGAGGTTGAGAATTATTTAGTTTTTTGTCAACACCAAACTTAATAATGGTTAGAGTTTGTTAGAAATAATTAGTTGGGTTGTTTAGGCTATTGAAAATCAGCTAGAGAATAGTTTCAGTTAGTTTATCTGGTGTATTATCATCAATTATAAAAGCTAGTATCTTTAATTGTTTTGCATAAAGAAAAATGAATAAGAACTGAAACTGTCAATTCTCTGCATATTCTGCAATTCTGTGCTTCTTCTTCAAATCCTTCTCCATTTTTTTACTTCTTAAATCAGGATCTAGGATCCCGACATTCCTATCGACCCTATCAGTTAGTGCAAAATCGTGAAGCAACATAAGCAAAGCTAAGTTGAATCCTAGAGGTAGGGTTGCCAAATTCCTTGCATAGTGCGAGCCTCTGAATATCTTGAAGAAGTGATACCATGCCTCTTACCTGGTTTCGATATCGTTTTCATTTTTTTTCCTTAACAGTTTGAATATATGTTTATTCCTAAAGCTACCCTAGCTACTCCTGGTTTTATGGCTGAGTATTGCCCTCAATGATCAACACTTTGCTTGCTGGAAACAAAAGATGGGATTTTGTTTTTGAAGCAACTGAAGATGTTTTATGCTCTAACCAGTCCTAACCCAGGCATTCTTTTAAATCCTGGTGAGTAAATAACAAAAATTTATCAAACTACAGCTGCAACACAAATTAAATAGAAATGATTCTTTCTTCGTTACCAGAGTCTTAATTTTCTTGCTGATAATATCTATAGTTAATATTCAAGAAAAAAAAACTAAGAATTCTAGAGACCTTTGAGACTCCCTGAAGGCTGTTTATATTGCTGATTGGTCAGGAACCAAGAATTTCTGTGTTTAGCAATTACTTAGACCTCAGAATGACTGATGAACAGCCTACTTTTAATTAAGACCCAGATCTACCAATGATTGTTAATTTCTTACTGATTATATCTTTATCAATATTCAAAGAAAACTAAGAATGATATAGACCTTTGAGATGGTATCAAACTTGATGATGGTATTAGAAAACAGCCTTGCAACACTGACTGCTATAAAGGAAGGCAATAATGGGAGAAATTGTGTAGACTTGAAAAAATCTGTTTACTACGACAAAGAGAACTGTTTTCCTATAGAGGGTGTTAAAATATTACAAAATATATTACAAAATATTTTATGTAATTATTGGTTGATTTTCTAGCATTAATAGGGTAATTTATGTTTGCATATATAGACCCTTCTTTTATGTGCATATATCCCTAACCCTATGTAATGAAATATAAGAATGATTCAGTATTTTTCTTCCCTAACTATTTACAGAGGAAAAACCATCACCGAAGTCATAGAAACATCAAAGCAGGGATGATGAAGAATTGGTAGAGACTGCACAAAGCCCACAGATTGCAGATGATCTAACTTGTACCATTGAACAGATCTGAAAATATTCTGGCACTTTCTTTTTTTGACCTGCCAATAAAAGTCACCAGCTATGCACTTTAGGATTTTCTACCTTTCATGACTGCTATGACGTAGTGCAAAAATTATTACTGGGATAATATGGAAGGAGGCAAGTATACCTAATTCCTCTAGCGATCAAACCATCTTGGAAGACCCACTTATCAGTTTCCGTTCCTTATATAATGTCGAAAGCATGCTACTGTAACTCTTGTGAAGCCTGGATCTCATCCCTAATAGAATTGGAAAGATCAGATTGTAGCATAGACATGGCATCCAGCATGGACATTGCATCCAGCATCCATCGCTCAGGGAAGTGTATCCGGTTTGTCAGGGTTGCCCCTCTGAACTTTGCTACCTCCATATATCTTCCCAGTGCATTTCTGCTAAGAGTTATCTTCACGTATCCTTCCTCTACCCTATAAACCAGACTGTACAGGATTCCCTCCTACAATTGATTTCAGACAATTCATCAACCATTCAACCTCTCCCATACCAAGTTGACGAACAAAATTATGAATCTTTTGTTCCTTTTGAATCGTCACCTCCACATCTCCTCCATGTTCAAAACCTCTCCATACTGTGAAAAGTTCTTTCCACCAAGAACACCACATGTAGGTCCCTTAGCAACAATTCCTCCATATTCTCTTTGATCCTCGATATGCCCTTGTCAGCTATTACAAGTGGATGACTAACTCGACCTCCATCCGAAACTATATAAACACAAGAGTGCTTTTCGTTCACAAAGACACTTACAAACTTGCCAACTTTCCCCACTTCTACACAAATTTCTTACAACAAGATTTATATATAACAATAAAAAACTGGAAAATATTCAAATAGCAATAGCATAGCAACAAACAAAGTATCCACCACTTTCTAGAATATTAAGGACATTTTTATATCTCAGGTTCTAAGCCTATCTAACATTTAGAAAAGACTATTAAGGTAACACACCAATTAAAGTATCCATCATACTTAGCTATTATATATACAAAGGTAAGTAACACCAATTAATTACATAATATGTAATCAATCTACCAATATCTCCTGCCTGCATCTGTAATTATACGAATCCTTAGTGAATCAAAAAGGATATATCCAATTAAACTGATATCAAAGGAAGAGATACATCTAAATATCAGATAATCAGGGAAAGTAGAAGTGCAGCCATACAGAAGTTCAATTTTTTGTAAAATACAGAGAAACACATGAAGAAACATAAATATCTTCTGTACTAAGAAAATAAAGGATAGAAGGAAAAACTCACTGTAATTGAAACACCACCCAACCCACGATGGTTGCTAACAACAACTTTCCAACCATATTTTGCTGTATTGAAGGCAAGATGTTTTAAATACTGGAATTCATAACATGAGCAAAGTAGACAAATTTTAGTGTGCATACATATAAACAGCTATTTTTGAGACAAACACATAAACAGTTATTGCAACAGTGTAATACAAAACTTGGGTAAGAGAAGTCTTAGAACAGAAAATAGAAAATAAGTAAACCAACATCTCTAACTTTCGAATTTTAGTGTTGGCTTGCAGACTGGTGTAATCTAATTGTTAAATAATCCATGCGGCCCCCCTCATCCCCTTAACAATTTTCTGGGTCATTTGAAAGGAAAGGAACAATAGGACTTTTAAGGATATTGAAGAAACCTTTGTAAATATTAAAGATAGGTAGTTTCATTATTTTGATCTCATTCTTTTAAGTCATAACTTATACATTTCAGAAGACTTGGGAGCGATTGTAAATATTCTCATTGACATGTAATTACTTTTGTAAATGGGGCCACCCCCTTGGTGTCATTCACCTAATACACTTCCTTACTTTTATTTCAAAAAAATTGTTAAATAAGATCCAACGTGCTCCTCAATAAAAAAATAATGAAGCTATGAAATAAAATAAGTTCCAACATGATCAATGAAACAGTAGTTATGATTTAGGATCACTGAAGCAGGTAACTGAATGATGCTCGCACAAACAGCTGCTGGATGACCTTTTAGAGAGGTCGGTTTTGATGTTCCATATGTCAACCAACCCATGAGATCCCTCAGATCCATTTTTAGAGACATTTACATTTTTTGCATCCCCACCATGCGTCACACATCACCCACTGGCTCCCATTTTCACCAACTCTACCCAAATCTCTTCAACTTTAGCCCTACTTAAGCTCCTATTTGCCCACTTTCCCAGACCAACTCCTTGCATTGCCCACCTCTTCTCCCTCATCCTCAAACAAAAACTCAAATATCCCATCATTTGCAACCTAAATTCATTTATTTCTTTTGGACGTCCCCTGAAGCACCTTAAGCAAAAAAAAAATATGTCAAATACCAGACTTAGCTGCTACATGGCTAGAAATGATGTTACGGGTAGTATTATGGCATACTTGGGAGAATAAATGATGTGTTAAGTGGGTGGACAAGTGCAATGGAGAGAATAAGCTAAATAGGTGGTTTGTGTAAAATGATGTATTAAATATAAACATGTGTATTAGGGGAAAGTAGATCTACATAAGGACAAGAGTGTAACTAACTCTGGAAATAACTTCCAGATAACTACTCTTTTCTCTTGTATGAATACATGTTGTCTTCTTCCACAGATTGTTAGGCAATAAGAAATTTATTAAAAAAATGTTAAAGTACTTCCTTACTCAAAAGATCGTTGGATTCTCTCTTAACGAGCCTATATTATTATCAAGTCAAATATCATTGGTTCTCTCTTAACAAGCTCATACTATTAGTAAATTCCATAACAAGATCCTAAGTATGGACCATAATAAATTGGTATCAAGGTCAATCATTATGGAGGAATTGCATTCCATGTTTGAAAATTTTCAGTAGACTTATCAAGAAGATGGAGAACAAGATAAATTAAATTGAAGTTTGAACTTTTAGCGGGAAGATTAGAGGAATTATCGGCCAGAACTACCCCCAAGGAGTCTGGCAAAGGAAGCAACCAAACAGACCACCATCAGTCACATGAGGAATAAAAATTTCCAGCACAAGTAGACCCCTTCCCTGCACATGCACCTCTATGCATCAACCAGACCAGCAGCAGCCTGGAACCACCAGCATGCTGAGCGCCCCCTTTCTACCTCGTTACCCCAAACTGGACTTTCCCCATTTTGATGGTTCCGGCAATAAAGAAAATTACGAAATCAGCATTTCTAGAACCAGAAACTATAGCAGCAGCAGGAATTTGGCGCTTGAGGCCAAGTGCAATTTTTCAAGAGGGGGAGTAATGTTATAGGCAATATTATGGTGTATTAGGGAGAATAAATGATATGTTAAGTAGATTGACAAGTGTACTGGGGAGAATAGGTCAGTATGTGTTATGTCTAAAATGATGTGTTAAGTATGGACATGTATAATTGGGAGAATAACTCCAAGTAAGGACAAAGGGATAGTTAATTCTGGAAATAACTTCCAGTTAATTACTATTTCTCATGTTGTCTTCTTTGATAGATTTTTAGGCAAGAAAAAATTCATAAAAATAGTGTTAAGCACTTTCTTACTCGAGATTGTTGGTTTCTCTCTTAACGAACTCATACTATTAGCAAAATTCTATAACAAGATCCTAAGTAAGGACAATAAATAACCTGCCACGACCTAATATAGGATTCAAGTGCTTAATACATGTTAAAAATCAGAGAATATTTACGATATGTTAATTGATTTTATTAATATGAATATTTTGTTGCCTAAATAATTGTGATATTTTTCTTATATAGCTCTTACTTTTAATTATTTAGTATTTCTATTATAAGGGTAATTTCCTTATTTGTACCTAGGAATCTTGTATATATATGTGTCACCTGTAACATCAAAACATAGAGTAGAAATAAAGTAAATATTTTTTCTCCAAATATCTACATGGTATCATAGTAGAGTAATGGCATTTTAGGGTTTTACTTTTAGGGTTTCTTTCAAAATCCTATAACCTTCTCACTAGCTACCAGAGGGATAGTCTCACCAAGCAGCTGGCCGCCCTACTCCGGCGACTATCTCCGCCCTACCCAACCTACTTGCTCTGCCGGACTGCAGCGGTTCAAGCGGCATTTTGCGCGCAGCTCTCTGGTTCGCATTCACGACTCATCTGGTTCACATACCTGACTCATCTGCTCATTCGCGCACAACTCTCTACTTGCTCCGTCCGCCTGCAGTGGTTCACGCGGCATTTCGTGCGCAACCCTCTGCTTCGCATTCCGATCCGTCCACTTGCAGCTATTCATATTGCTTCCTTCTCTGGTTCGTGCACACCCGACTTGACCTGATCTGTTTTCCTGGGATCCACGCAGCCGCACGATGCCAACCTTTCTGGTTTGTGCTTTGAGTTGTTCTGTTCGCGCAAGGCACTCTAGTTCGCGCACGAACAGCTTTGCAAATCCGGCTTTGCCGCTTGACCCGATCGATTTTCTAGGATCCGCGCAGCCGAGCACGACTTTTGTCCGCCCAACCACGCAAGGTTGTGATCTGCCCTCCCTTGGCACACGAAAAGCATCTATTTCCGAAGCTTAAGTGAGTTGTTGAGCTGAGCCACTTCCAAGCTTATCTGAGCTGGTTTTTGATGTCAATCTGAATTGTTTTTGGAGCCATTTTTTTGTTGTTTATCAAATTTGGTTCCAGTTTGTAGCAATTTTGGCATTCTTAGTATTGATTAGAGGGATCTTTCTATCTCATTGAGATTAACAGTTGGGTGTTGTTCTTTCTCTGTCTCTAGTTATTTTTAAATAATGACATGAGTAAAAAGATTATTTGTTCCAAGTTTGGATTACCCTTCATCAACTATTGATACGTTAAAAAAGGTAAACTCAGGTGTTACCTTTTTCCTTGCTATTCCAATTCTAATACTTGAATTATAAACTCTGGAGCTAATAGGTACATGACAGACTCTTCTAAAGACTTCCTAACCTATTTTTCATGTACTCAACAAGCAAATGTATGTGTCGCAGATAGATCATACACTCCTATATCTAAAATAAGTTTCATTAATTGTACTCCGACTATTACATTGTATTCAGTTCTTCATGTGCCTAGTTTTTCTGATAGTCTCTTATCCATTAGTACCCTTACTAGAGATTTTAATTGTAAAATTGAGTTTTTTCCTAACTATTGTATCATTCAAGATCTTTAAACAGCAAAGACAGTTGGCACTGGTAAATTGTAGGATGGTTTATATGTCTTCAATAAAAGTCAAAGTGTAATTGAGAATCAAGCTACCTTCAGAGATACGAATGTCAGTAGAGAAATCCTACAATTGCATGACGGTTGGAACATCCTTCTTTTTTTACTTTACAAAAATTATTATTTAAAAACACTTCTATGGATTCCTTATTTTGTGATGCATGTGAGCTACCTAAATATAAAAAGAGTTCATATCATGTGAGTAAGCATAGAAATCCTACCCCTTTTATGACAACTTACTCAGATGTTTAGGAGCCACTCAGAATACATCCTTGTCTAGTCATAAATAGTTTATTACTTTTATTGACTGTTGTATTAAATTAACATGAATTTATCTGTTGAAAGGCAAAAATGATGTGTACTCATGTTTTCAGTCATTTCATAAAATGGTATGTACGCAGTTTGTTGCTCAAATTAAGATTATAAGAACAGACAATGGTACAAAATATATGGATGATGGATTTCGTGCCTACTTAAAGTCTAATGGAATAATTTTGTAAACAAATTGTGTCTACACCAGTGAACAGAATGGAGTTACTGAAATAAAAAAAGAGATAAATTGGAGGTAACTCGGTCACTAATGTTCACCATGAATTTACCGAAAAATTATTGGAAATATGCAATTCTTTCAGCTGTCTATCTTATTAATAGAATGTCCTTGGGCCTTTTTGATTTCAGGAATCCTCTGAAGGTTTTGTAAGATACAAATTCTTATACTGTTCCCCCTAAAGTGTTTGGATGGGTTTGTTTTGTTCATAATAGAAATGTGAGTAAATTGGAATCTAGATCTCTTAAGTATGTATTTGTTGGGTATTCTCCTATTCAAAATGATTACAAGTGTTATCATTTACCGTTTAAAAAATATTTTATAACTATAGATGTTACTTTTAGAGAATCTGAACCACACTTCAGCACCACTCCAACACCTCTTCAGAGGGAGAGTGAAATGGAAGAGGTGATGCGCAGTTCAGTAACCCTTCACAATCATATTCAGGGGGAGAATTTTACGTTAAAAGATCTTACTCACGAATAAAATGTTGGACAACTGGATAAACCGGACTTGAAGAAGTATTCAATGAGAGATAAGACAAGAAAAGTCATCATGCAGTCTATTTCAAGTCAAGAATCTTTTTCAGTTCCTAAAAATACTGGTGAGTTATCTTTTCCTTATGAATTATCTAATAAACTCATTGCTTTTAAAAAATGAATCAGAACTTGCATTAAACATTCTATGTCAAATTTTGTTTTCTATGACTCTCTATCAACCTTCTATAGAGTCTTTACTTTATTTTTTTCCTCTATCTCTATTCTACAGGATTGGAGACAAGCGCTAAGAGATAACAAATAGAATGAAACGATGATTAAAAAAATGAAAGTACTGGTAAAAAACAAAATATGGGAGCTTCTTTCAACCCCATATAAAAAAAAGGATAATTAGTTGCAAATGGGTGTTCAAACAGATTGATCGATTGAAAGATATAAAGTTAGATTAATAATTGAAGGGTTTACTCAGATCTATAGAGTTGACTGTCAGAAAATCTTTACTCATGTCGCAAAGATGAATACAATCAGAATATTACTGTCCTGTGATGTTAATCTTGATTGGGACTTGCACCAGTTTGATATAAAAAATGTCTTCTTCTATGGGGATTAAGAGGAGGAGGTATACATGAAAATTTTACCTGAATTTGAAGACAAAAAAACACAAGAGAAAGTTTGCAAATTAAAGAACACCTTATATAGATTAAAGCAGTCTTCAAGAACACGATTTGAAAGATTTAGAAGAGTTACGATTTCTTTCGGATATCAGCAAAGTAATGCTGATCATACCCTGTTCATCAAGCATTGTAAGGATAGGATCACTATTCTCATTATTTATATAGATGATATCGTGATTACTGGAGATGATACAAAAGATATCACTCGATTAAAGGAACTTCTAACTCGAAAATTTGAAATCAAGGATCTAGGAAGATTACAGTACCTCCTGAAAATTGAGTTTGCCAGATCTAATAAAGGAATCTTCATTTCTCAAAAAAAAGTATATTTTATACTTGCTAGAAGAGATTAAAATGATGGGTTACAAACAAAAAGAATCTCCGATTGAAAGTAATCACAAGCTGTAAGCTGATAGTGATAAATCAGTTGACATGAAAAAATATCAGAGATTGATTGAAAGACTCATTTATCTCTCACATATCATACCAAATATAACATATGAAGTTAGCCTGTTTAGTCAGTACATGAATGATCCTCACGAAACTCATTTATATATTGTCTTTCAAATATTACAATATTTAAATCTGCACCAGAAAAATATTTACTCTTCTCCAGAAATTATTTTTTTTTTTAAACAAAAAGTATACTTTTCTCCAGAAATTGCCACCTTAAGATAGAAATATTTACAGATACCGATTAGCCTAGATCTCCAAATGATAAAAGGTCAGCTACTGCTTACTGCACACTCGTTGGAGGCAACTTGATTACATGAAAAAGTAAGAAGCAAGGTATAGTTGTCTGTTTTAATACTGAATATAGAGTAATGACTCAAGGAGTATGTGAATTATTATGTTTGCAAAAGCTAATGAATGAAGTCAAATTTTTAAAGAAAGAAGTCTATCATTGTTTTATGATAATAAAGCAGCCATTAATATTATTTAAAATCCAGTTCAACATGACCAGACGAATCACATTGAGATTAACTGTCACTTCATAAAAGAGAAAGTGTTTGATAGCTCTTTATGCTCATATCATGTGTCTTCTATCAATCAAGTGGTTGATATCTTTACTAAAGGACTTTGCAGCAAAACTCTTCAGAATCTGATATGCAAGTTGGGTACGTATGATATTTTTGCACTAATTTGAGAAAAAGTGTTGACATAAATATTTTATTATTTCCTATATATCTCTTACTTTTAATTATTTAATATCTCTACTATAAGGGTAATTTCTTTATTTGTACGTAAAAATCTTATATATATATATGTGTGTGTGTGTGTCACCTGTAACACTAAAATATAGAGTGAAAATAAAGTAAATATTTTTTCTTAAATTTCTACAAATTTAGAGATAAAATAATTTAGCAAAAGATTAAAGAAACTTAAGGAATCTCCCCACCCTTCTTACCTATAATTTTTTTGGAAAATATCTGGTTCTCCATGCTTGTATTTTTCTCTTCTCATCTCAACAATAAATTTTTTTTTAATCGAAAAATTAAAACATATATGATATAACACGACCCTAATTCCCCATGATCTGGTCTCCTCATCTATGTTCCTCCTATAAACTTGAGCAAAGAATGGAACTCTCCTGACTGTTTCGACATCTCAACTCTCTAGTTGATTTGGCTTCTTTAGACCCATAACGAATCCACACCCACATATGGGATTTGGCCATTTGGCTAATCACAAAGGTTCTGAAAATATAGTTTAGTTCCTAACAAGACTAAATAATACTAATCTAAGAGGCATCAAATAAAAAAACTTCTACCCACGAGGGCTCTAAATCCTCAAACTAAATTTCAGAAGCTCAATCAAATTGTCCCAAAATCTTAAAATTTCTTAAGTCGTCGACCAAAAACCTAGTCAACCGAGCAGCAACAAGCTTTAACTAAACCAGCTTTTACCCTTAGTTTTAACAATTAGTTATTCTTTTAAGGATCCAGAGACAAACACCAACTTGCTTAATCCATTGCTAAAAACATAAATCACAAAATTTTTCAATAATAAGAGTAAACTAGTATAACTTTTCAGCACTTAAGGCACCTAATAAAAACAAATAGCACTTCTATATTGAGTTGTTTTTGAACATACAGCAGAAGAAGAATCACTTGTTAAGCCCGGAATCACAACCGCAATAGGCGTTGCATCATCTTTACAAACTCCATCACTCTTGTGCAAGGTACTACCTGAAACTGCAGAACCACCAAATATAACAAACAAAAGAAAAGAATATTTATCAATTACATAAGTTAGTACAAAACTGGAAAAATGTAGCAATGTCAGACAATTACCTGATCTGAGAATCAGATAAGTTGCAATATAAATTAAGGTTAAGTCTAGTTTAAATTTCAATTTTGTGAAACAGAAACAGAAACACAATACAAACGGGATAAAAATTTAAATGAAAAGGATATTCCAATTTCAAATCAACTTCAAGTTAAGTGCTTTAATGATTTCTTCCTTGACAAGTGGAAACACAAATCTATTATTATAGAATTAAAGACATGAATGAAGATAATTCAATTGTGATCAAATACGTAAATTATAATTAACTTTTATACATCCAATAATTAAGATCTAGATGTTAGAAAGTCTATAATTGTAATTATTTGTTTTCATACTTGTAAAAGGAATATTCTTGGAATAAGCTGATGCAATTAATTTGTAGAATTTCTTGTAAAAGACTCCTCCAATAATTGCTTCTTTGCTTGGGAAGCGGGAAGATAATGTATTTTGACAATTGATACACTGATGAGAAGGAGCAGAACAATTGTGAATAATTGCTTTTTCAACAATAGTATATTGTCTATTAGGGATAGATTGGGTGATGGCAGGGTGGTGAGGGACAAGATTTGGGCTTGGGAGGGAAGATGTAAGAAGAAAAAATTTGTAAAGTTTATTCATTTGACTATTTTTTGTGATCTGAAAGAGAGTAATAGTAAAGTTTTTGACGAGATAGAGGAAGAGATGTCCAAAATTAGGGATAGATGATTATATTATTTTGATTCTTTGATTTTAAGACAATACATTTATAGGTGGAAGAATTTTGGGAATATCATATATATACTAACATATTTGTAAATATCTTGTAAATGGGTAGTACCCCTTTTGGTGCCATATTAGTATGTTTTGTATACTTTTCTTTCAAAAAAAAATTAATTAGTAGGATTTCCTTTTCTTGTTCCTAAAGTTCTTTAATATAATAAGCATTACATTCCATTCTCCCACATGATATTAGAGTAATAAGAAAAAATTTTATTCCTTCAAGCAAACCCTAATCAACCTTTATTGCTGTTAAAAAAAAAAAGAAAAAAATCCTAGATCCATCACAAGCCTTAATGCTTTCATTGCTGAAACCCAGGCCTTCACCATCAGCACCAGACCCTCTAGCTGCAAAACCTGTACTGTGCACAGCCAGCCAAGACAACTTCTATGACGCGCACCCCTGTCGAGGTGCTAAAACCCAGGTGCCACCTTCTACCCAGTTGCACGATACCCTCCTGCTCAGCTTCTGTCCAGGCCACACAGCCACACATGCCTACCTCTAGCGCACTCAGCTCCTCTACCGCACCACCAGCCTCTATCAGCTGTGCTGCCTCCTTTCCAGCTGGTAAAACCCTTCTTGTTACTTTTTATTCAATTTTATTTGTCCTACAACTCTTATGCTAGGTTAGACATTACATCCCAAATTACTAGAACAAATTTCACACGGGAAATAATACCTCAAACAATAGT